ATTAAATCTAGCTTCTTGTTCAAATGGTTTTTGCATAAAACCAAAAATTCCCGAAGCTCCACTATTATCATACTAACGAAAATGTGTTAGCTTTGGCTATAATGAAAAAGTTATAAGAATCCATGCGTTGTCTTGGAAGAGTCGGATAATTTGCTTATTCCCATTTTATGTCCTAACGGGTCTTGGCAAGAACTTCAGTTTTTTTTAGCCTGACGCCTATGAATCTATTTTGCAATAAAATAGTGATATTACTCCTTTTGGAAGTTAATCTTCAACTTTTCAGAGGTTTCATAGTGTCCGTACAAGGCATTATCATTTACCGTGCGGCATATTTCGGAATGTTCGATACTGCTAAATATTACATTGCTTCTGAAGGAAAGAAACTGAACTTCTTCCTCGCATGGGCTCTTGCTCAAGTAAGTTTGCTTCAGAAGTTTTGATCCTTCGGTAAACGTTTTTCGAACACTTAGTCTTCACAATGTTACATGAGCTTCTGGATTTAGTCAATTCCGTTATCTCTATACGTTGGACCATGTTGAAATTCAGATGGTTCTATCGTTTTCAGAGTTGACCTTGTCCGTTAATTTATTTGCACCCACTCACTAAATTGTAGCAGTTCAAATTAATACGAATAAGTGAAACGCTAGTTTTCTATCATCTTGTTAAGCGAAAGTTTTGAACTGTCGTTTTGAAATAGTAATTGTGAGCCTTCTTATAGGTTGTAACCGTCAGCTCAGGCCTAACCTCATATCCATGGGATACTGTACGTCGACGGATGATGATGCAATCAGGAAGGTCCGATGTGCTTTATAAGAACACTCTCGATTGTGCCACAAAGATCATCAAGAACGAGGGTCTTAAAGCCATGTACAAGGTAAACTCTCCATTTCGAAACTTTAAAAGAAGAATCTAATTCGATGCTTTTAGGGTTCATTGTCGAATATTTTCCGTAGTACCGGAGGAGCTCTTGTGCTTGCCATCTATGACGAAATTCAAAAGTATATCAAACTGTAGTTTCAAAAGATTTATATTGCATGGTAGGATTGTTGTTGCTTTAAATCTAAAAATCGTACTAGATATAGTTTTTT